TATTTAGGGAAACTACCAAATAACAAAGCGGAGGAACCCCGAAAAACGAGCCTGAATAGTCATGCATAATTTCGCTGCCAGCATAGCAACTAGAGCTTAGGGTCCAAGCACTCAGGCAACCTTCCTGCCCAAAACATATGCCGCGGTTTAGGATTTAGGGTTCCACTGAACCCTGAACCCTAAACTACAAGCCCCATACTGCATAGATGCTTGGATTTCCGGGCTTGATGGCGGTTAGTAGGGAACCGAGGGAATATAATCCCTGTACGATATATTATGATTAATTTCCGCATTCCCTATTAACCCTAAACCTCACATATTATATTCCCTTATTCCCTAGTAGCCCTAAACCCTAAATTATCTATTTCCTTAGTCCCTACTAACTTTAAACCCTAAATATTCTATTCCCTTAGTCCCTACTATCCCGGAACCCTAAATATTCTATTCCTTAGTCCCTACTAGCCACCTGTAGGTTGGGTATGCGAGCGAGGGCCAAGGGCGTGGCACGGGGCTGGCTTGGAGCCATCATTGCAGAACTTGAGGATGAGGGGCAACCTTAGGAATTAGGAGGGGTTTACGGGTTTACGGGTTTAGGGGTTTAGGGGTTTAGGGGTTTAGGGATTTAGGGTTTAGGGTTGTTTAGTGTTTAGGGGCTTCTGGGTTTAGGGTTTGGGGGTTGAGGGTTCAGGGCGGTTTAGGGTTTAGGGTTGGGTTCAGGGTAGTCCCATGTTCCTGGGACACCTAGAAGGAAGAAAGAGGTGATCAGTGTCCTTGCAGGGATCATAATCCGTCATGCCCCCGCAAAAACAACCGTTCCGCAAGTAATTTTGAATGTCTAATATATGGAGGTTTCCCAAAATTAGGTGTACCTTCTTGGGGGTCCCTATAAAAAGGACTATAGTATATTTGGGTCTATATTGGGGTCCCCCTATTTTGGGAAACTAGCATATCCCCTCTATAGAATGTCCTTCTCTTCAAATTACTTGGGTAAAACTAAGGGCTTGGCTGGGATGTAGGGCTTAGGTCCTAGGGTTTGACGGGGAGGCTCCCTTCCCATAACGACTTCCTAGTGAGGGGAATTCTATATGTTGGCAGTGGCACAGTTTCGGAGACTGCCAATGCTAGCAAGCAAAGCACGCCGCACCAAGAAGTAATGTACAAGGTTCTCAGCCAAGCCCCTAAACCCTAAACCATCATTTGAAAAACTACATGTTGAATTCTTCTCCAAAAACGACTTGGAGCGCTGATGAAGGCTGCACGCTACTGCTGCCGGTCTTGTAGAAGATGCTGCTTTGTCCTTGTGATGTGCTTGCACCAGGATTTCAGCATCTTGAGTGGCATGCAAGGGGACTTTGCGTGATCTCTGGCCTTTGGTTAGAGGGGAATGAGGGAATGGAAACGAACATTGAACCTACTATTAATGGGTTATACAGGGACTACTTTAAGGATCCACCCCTAAACCCTAAACCCATAAAAGGGCTACTATAACTGTAAAGATCCATTCCTTCATTCCTAGCTAAGCAGAGGCCAGTGATTTGGAGCACCACCTACCAGCGTTCAGAACTGTTGCACAGGTCGGCAATCAGGTGGTAGGGATTGAGAAATATCGCAGCCTCCATGTCGCTCTGAGCATCGTATCCTTGGTAGGCACCAGGCAGGAGCTTCAAGTCCAGGGCCGCGCTAAAGTCAGCGAAGCACCGGCCAAAGTGCACAGTTTGGGCCGGACTCCTGAGGTTGCCGACGTTGAGGCCAAACAGGGCACAACCGTCAATGAGTGGAGTTCGAAACGGGAGCGACGTAGAGCGCCCCTAGTTTAGCGTTCAGGGTTTAGAGTTTAGGGGTTAGGGTTCAAGGTTTAGGGTTTGTGGTTCAGGGTTTAGGGTTACAAAAATTGAAGCCATCTGGCGCAGTCCAAGTCTTTGACTTATATTGCCTTGCGGGCAATGAACAAAACGCCCCCAAACCCCACACCTTAAACTCCAAACTCTAATTCAGACATCTACTGCAGGGCATGTGCACTAAAGTTTCTCTTGGTGCCGATGACATTTGGGACCACAAGAATAACCAAATATGTTCAGTTCATGTCCTGCTGTAACCCCCCCCCGCCAGTAAGCAAAACCCTAAACCCTAAACCCCTAAACCCTAAACCCCTAAACCCTAAACCCCTAAACCCTAAACCCCTAAACCCTAAACCCTAAACCCATGAAAACTCTGCTTCTGGAATGCCTTGTACATGGCTGAATGCTGCGGTTCGGGGACTTGGGGTGGTAAAAAACCTCTGCCCTCAATCGAAGGCCCAACCTGAAAGGTGTAAGCAGATAGTTACACAGGCCCCAAGGGTTAGGGTTCAGGGTTTAGGGTACAGTATACAATAATGATACAGTTTCGGGTGCTTACAGCAGTGATTGTTACTGAGGCTTGTGGGGGTAGATAAGTTCCATGTACTTTAGAGCCATAGGCAAGAGGTTTTCAAATAACGGACAATTGCTCTACGGCTGTAGCTTGTTAGATAGCTTTTCCTGTAGACTCTAACCCCTCAGCCCAAGATCCCAAATTCCAAGAGCTGTAACCGCAAACACAGACTCCAACCTTCAAACTCTTTAACACTAAAGCCTGCCCATGGAACTCCAAAGCCTGTACCCAAAATCTTACCTATAACCCCAACTACCTGCGGCTTTATGGGTTATACCTACTAATTAGGGAGTAGTTACTACTAAACCGTAGGTCATTGGGAAACCCTAAACCCTAAACCCTAAACCCCCAAACCCTAAACCCTAAACCTTAAACCCTAAACCCTAAACCCTACCAGCCTCAAGGAGGCGCATTTCATGACTTCCTGGCAAACGGCCATGGCCTCAACGCGAGAAGGAGGCTTGGGGATTAGGAGGATTTGGGGTTTAGGGGTTAAACCCTAAACCCCCTAAACCCTGAACCCCTAAACCCCGAGAACCTAAACCCCCAGACCCTACACCCCAAACCCTAAGCCCTACACCCTAATAAAGCCCAATTCGCCAAAGCCCCAAACTCTACCCACTCAAGCACTGTCTAGTACAGCACAGGGCTTACATGCAACTCTGCTGGACCCAAAAACGTATCGGCTACACCCATGCCCTAAACAGATCTAGACCAAGGTCTTCTGGAAGACCTAGGTTGCACTTTGCAACTACATGTCTTCAACTTAACCGCGCGTGGATAACTAAAGAACGACCATGTTGATGGTTGGAGAAGAGCGACTCACACTTGTAGGAGTACGGTCGCAGGTAGTTGGTACTTCGCCGGGCAAGGGCTCAAAGACAGCAATTTTTTAATCGTACTTCATCACTTTCATACGACAGGAGCCTGCGTACTTCAAGATGATGTTAGGGGAGTGCTTGGGCATAGCATGCGGGAATCTACGAGGCATGTTGCGGGCAGATCATCATACCGTCATAAGTTGGGAAATTCTTTGGGTCCGTAAGCTACTTGGAGTTGAAGCGGAGAGCTGTCCGAAAAGAGCCTGGTGACGCAGCCAAAACCAGTTCCTGACCCATTTCTCCGATCCCTAAAAGCCTGAAACCTGAAAAGAAAGTCCTGATTCCTAGACCCCCCTCCTGCCCTCTATCAGGGCCGAAGTACCTACTATTAGGGACCATATATCCCCAATTAAGGGTAAAAGGAAAGTCCTGGTTCTTAGGGACGCCGGTAGGTGTCGGAAGTACAAGGCAATGATGGGCCCTCAGGCAAAGCTCAGGGCTAGTAGGGTTTAGGGTTTAGGGTTGAGATGCCTTGAGGCATGATATGACCCTCCGTCACTAAAAGGACTGCAAGAGGGACCTCAAAACAGGGAACCCCAAGAATATAATTAGTAAGAATATAGTAGGATGATGTGGACCCTGGTAGGTATATTCCTGCTACATTCCTACTATATTTGTGGTATTCCCCATTTCGGTGTTCAAGCTAAAGTATCTTTAATCAAGATGTGAGGCCAGTGCGAGGCCTTCAAAAAGGCTGGAAACACGAAGCCAAGATGGGTCGTGCTTTGGTTTTAGGGCCCTAGGGTGAGGGCCACCATGATAAAATCTTTAAGAGTAGGTCCCTATTTAAAAGCAATGGCTGTCCCAAAGTGCCACCTAGTCCGTGGGCAAATACAATACTGGGTGGCTGCTAAGGAACATACATTAAGTTAATATAGCGTGTACATATGGTAATTGCTGTTAAGAAGGTACGTTAAGTTACCATAAGGGGTACATATAGTATTTTGTTCAATATGGTTAAGGAACATACATTAAGTTACCATCATGGGTACATATGGTAATTGATTCCATATGGTTCTCCCAATATAGTAACTTAGATTAAGTTCCTTAACAGCAGCCCAGAAGGCCTCGGCATATTGGGCAACTAAGACACACCGCCAACCTGAAAGTCCTGCTCCGTTGTGATTTGCACGCTTTCTCTAAGGGTCCAAGGACCCAAATAATAGGGTCTCTTTAAAGGGGTTATAGGGGCATATATAGGGATATATGGGGACTATATAAGGGTCCAAGGACCAAATAATAGGGTTTTAGGTCCCAAATACCATTACTAATATAATATTTGAGCCCTAAAACCCCATTATTTGGGTCCTTGGACCCTTAGGGTTCTCTCTAAGCCCGAAATCCTACGCGGCACTTAGGACCCCTAGAAAGGGTTTTAGGTACCCCTAATAGGTGTACAAGGGAATCCCACATAGTTAAGGGTCTAAAGGTCCAAGCTAAGTCCCAAGGAGAATCCCAAACCCTAAACCCTAAGCCAGCTGCCATCCTGAACCATGCCCCAACCACAAACGGACTACAAAGCAAGTTTGAACAGCAAGAACAGCTTCTCAAAGCAGTCCCCTTCTAATCCCTACAGGGGAGCCCTTCCCATACCTTCCAAAAGCCCAGCATACTCACCCTTGTACAGTACCACTCTTTTGGGTTTAAGGCTGTCATTTTGGGTGTTCGGTTTAAGGCTGTCATTTTGGGTGTTCGGGACGTCTAGGTAGAGTTTCTGACAGCCCCTGGGGTGAGAAACCCTCAGAAGCTGCCTCGTAATGGCCGACAGCCGTGAGAACTGGGTCTTTGCCTGTGTGAGCAACACGGTGGGTCTTGTTGCCTACATGGGGGTTTTACAAGCATTGGGGGGTACATGTTTGGGGCTTGTCCGAGATAGTATGTTGGGGTACATAAGGGGGCCACGGGTCAAGGACAACCCGTGCGCAGATACCATGCGGATACCCTGATATGAAGCTCATATACCCCTCCTTTGCTCCTCCACCTAGTTTTGGAAACACTGAGATAGCGGGCAGAGCAACTACAATAGGGTTCAGGCTTAAAGGTTTTAGTTTAGACTAGAGCAACGAAAACGCGGTTTAGGCTTTAGGGTTTTAGGCTAGGGTATGTGGGTATGTATCTTGGCCCAAACGTTTTCCTGTCTGCAAAGGGTTGATGGGCAAAACATACATGAGTCAAGTATACTTGACTACCATAGCTCCACTATAATCAAAATCATATGAGCTATAGTCTAAACCGTGTCTAAACCCCTAGTATACCCCTTAATAACCCCTACAATGCTCCCCAATATAATCCCGTACATCTCCCCCTGTAAGGAGTTTAGACTATGGCTCATATCTAGGGTGTGGGGTTGAGGGGTCATTTAAGTCTACCCAAAGCCTCCTATGTAGCTCCTTTTGGGTAGTATACTATGTTTACAAAACTCATAACGAACCCAAAACTGAAAAGGCACTGCATAAAAGCCCTTGTAGCGCAGTTCCGGGGTTGAAATAAAGACCCCCGCAACACCCTAAACTAATAATTTCCAAACCTCAGAAACCCTTTGAAAACTAAAGGCATGATGCTGCCGATCTATATGGGGGTTTCCCAAAATTCAGGGTACCTTTTTGGGGGTCCCAATAATAAGGACTATAATATTTTAGGGTCTATATTGGGGTCCCCCATTTTGGGAAACTACCATATCACTTATAGAGGTAGTCCAATTGGTTCGCAAGGTTTTGGTCTGGAATATTGAAAACGTCAGGGCAACATACGCTTTGGCTGTGTTGCGTGTTTTGGCATGTCAGCCTGTGGTTTGGGTTTTAGGGCTTTGGGGCTTCGAGTTCGGAGTTTCAGGTTTGAGTGGGGTCATTATAACAGGGAATATATTGGGGTTATATTTGGATAAATGGAAAACAAAACGGAAACTACGATTTAGGGTTTAGGGTTTGGGATTTAGAAGGTGTGTGTTTAGGGTGTGGGGTTGAAAGGGGGAAACATCAAAAGCCTACTGCAGGGTGGCTAGATATGCATGATCATGTTTTTTGATGCTTCGGTGTTGTTTTAGAGGTCCTTTTAAAGGAGGGACCATTGCGAAGACACTTCCGGCAACCCTGAGGGGCCAAGTACCTTATAGTCATATACTTACTCCCACACCTATACGAAACTTGCATTGTCCAAAACCCAGGTACTTAATTATTGGATACATGAACCCTACACCCAAAACCGAAACCTCATGTACCCCGATATATCCATGTATACAGACCCTTTGAAGGGACCTAATTATTGGGTACTTGGACCCTCTGGGCAGGGGAGATCCTAACCAAAAAGAGAACCGACCTTGATAGCAATGTCTCGCCCATCAGGATCCTTGACGTATCCTGCAATCACCTCCCCTTAGCTATCTTTGTGGCCCTAGTCCCAGTATACATATATTCCTTACGTTGGGCAGGAAAGTCGAGAACCATTACCTACATTGGGCTATTTGGATCCTTAGGGTATGATCTGAACCTTTCCGCCAGTGAAAAGGTGAGTCTACGATGCATGCCCATACTAAATGGTTCCGCGATGCCCATCCGCAACCTGCTTGCGCCTGGTTTTACTCAGACCATCTCGGCCCCTTCCACTCAAAACTTTGCAGTCTTCGTGCTGGAGGTTATACTCGGGGCTGGGGATAGCAGCCGATAGCAGACTGGGTACGGCCCCCAGGGAACAGGCGGTCAAAGTCTTCGCAATGAGCTTTGCTTGCAAATGGTGGCATACAAGACCAAAAGCCTGAGGTTGTTTTGGATTCTACCGGGCCCTTCTGCGTGACTTCCACGAAGCTTGCGCGGAGGTTCCACAAGTTTCCCGCAGTGTCAAGTTTGGGAGACCTGAGTACTTAAGTTTGGAATGGGCAGCCATCTCTTTTTTCTTGAGCTTCCGCGACCTTCCGCAGCAAATGCCTTCCACGAACCCTTCCCCACCCTTCCGCGCGAACAGTCCTGTATTATGTCTGGACTTTGCTACCAAGAGCTGTTTCCGTATTCATCTATAATGCCTCTGACAACTCAAACAAATGCAGCTCACTTGTAATTAGAGGTAACCTATATATGAGGCCCGTCAGGGTGTGTTGCTGTAAGTCCTCTGAACTTCCAGGCGGACCCTGAGCTCCGTAAACCCCAGTCCTGGTGCCTAGCTTCAACAACCTTAATCCCAATATGGTACTTGACCCCAAGTCTCTTCCCCTCAGGGTCCAAGGACCCAAATAATCAGGTTTTAGAGCCCAAATACCATTAATATGCTAGTATTTGGGCCCTAAACCCTATTATTTGGGTCCTTGGACCCTTAGGGTTCAAGAGTAAGCTTCTGTTAATATGATGGGTCCGACAGGTTGCACGGGGCCAGGGACCTGCAACAGCATACAAATACCAGATCCGTTGTCTAAAAATGATATTGAACTGCATATGCCCAAACTTATCCCTCCAAACCTAAACCCTAAACCTGGACCCTCCTACCCTCTGCTTGGGCCTATAGACTTACTCATATCCCCAAGTAGGGGTACTAAGAGGGTCTTGGAACCTTAAACCCTCAGCCCAAAATACATGGCGGTCCAGTCCTCGTAGACAAACGAAGAACGCCCTCGCCTGAAGGAGATTGAACCCTGCCTGTATACCCAATTATACCTACAGTTTCATAGCTATTGCCTCAGAATTAGTAGGTATAACCCACTAAACTGTAGGTAATTGGCGTTACAGGTAAGGCTTCTGTTGCTTTACATGGACGGTTTCCAACTGAGCCATTGTCTAAACTCCTAGTATCCCCCTTAATAACTCCTATAGTAATCCCTATATAAACCCCTATATAACCCCCTTTAAGGAGTTTAGACTATAGCTCAACTGATGCTTTGGCATTTAGGGCCAACCCATGTGGCTGAGCTGTGGAGGGCTTATGCTCAGATGTCTTCCAGGATTCTCCTTGTACCCTTAATTGGGGATATATGGGGGTTTCCCAAAATTAGGGGTACCCTTTTGGGGGTTCCCATAATAAGGACTTATAGTATTTTGGGGTCTACATTGGGGTCCCCCTATTTTGGGAAACTACCATATGGTCCCAAATAGTAGGTACTTTAAAGACGGTGTCCGTCGGTCTCTTGCGCTTGTTCGAACATCTTTCTGCGTGAAGAGGTAGAGAAACACACAGATTCCATGATAACATGCATGCAGCTGATCTTGATCCAATGTCTCGCATCAGCTGCCTCAGCATAACGGCCATAATGCTCAAAGCTCCCGAAAGCAAAGCAACGGTAATGACCGCTTTGACTCGCAAGCATAATCTGCTACACGACTTTCCGGAATGAAATAAGTTTCCCAGAAAGCCTACTCTCCCTTCATTCGGGAGTATACTTCAAATTCTACTCGAATCCCTAGTATGGGTATATTCCCTGATTTCCCTGATTAGGGGATATTAGGCTTTCCGGGTTCATGGGGGATATCCTCTCAAGTCAGGAACCACTTCAAAAGATGTTGCAAGCATTCGCCCCTTGGAGGAAGTCTGGCATACTTGCTAGACAGCTCCAGCAAAAACCTAGTCGCAAACTGTCAACATAATTAAATGTAATGTCCCTGGAGTCTGGAGCCATCACTTAACCTACCCTAGGGGTCCAAGGACCCAACTGCCATCGTTCTGGGTCCCTAATACTATAGTTTGAATGGTTGGCGTACCTAAAACCCCTAGTATTCGGGCACTTGGACCCTTTGGGCTGCGTAAAAGCCTGAGGGCTCAGTGAGGGCTGTCCAAGGTTCTACACCCGAACCATGGTGACAATATGTCAGCCATTGTCTACACTCCTACTATGCCCCTTAATAACCCCTCTATAATACACCTTGTAATCACCTATATAGCCCCCTTTAAGGAGTTTAGACCCTAAACCCTATATAACCCTATAATCCCCTATAACCCCTTTGAGGAGTTTAGACTATAGCTCATGTGCGTACATTGCTGCTTGCTATTCAAGCCCACAAGCCCTGCATGCTAAACCCAGCCTACAAGCGCCTGTTGGGTCGAATGGGTCATGTTAGGGCTATATTGGGCTATATTGGGACAATGGAAAATACGCTGGAAACTACTATTTAGGGGTTAGGGTATAGAGGTCAAATCTCCACAAGCCCCTTCTCCTGACCCTTCAGTCCTTAAACCCTACCTGTAACCGCAATTACCTAACGTGTCATGGGTTGTGCCTAACTGATCTGGGGAAGGTACTTATGTATTGATTATCCCCTGTGTACAGTAACCTTAGTTTTCATATAAGTTTCCATTTGATTGTCCATTTATTCTCCGTATCTGTGGTAAGGTAACTGGTGTTGCAGGTGCTTGGATGCGCGATCCTTGTCGGCAAAAACATGGACTGCCAGCTCATCGCCAGGGTGAACGGACATTCGGATGTTGACCTAACGCATGCGCAGCTTCAAATGTGCTTGCGACCTGCCCGGTTTTATACTTGGGTGTCGAGTTAAGGGTTGAGGGAAGACGCCCATCATACTAGTTGCGGCCTCCCTACATCTTAGGACTACTGGTTCTGAAAATGCAGTGACACATCATGAGCCCCTGCCTGCATCAGCAACAGGAGTTCCTTCTTAGCTTGCTATGACTCTTGCCTGCAAAGAGACAAGAGAAAGGAGCTGCATTCCAAAGGTAGGGGCTGGGCTAAAGAAACGCAATTATAATTGGGCAAAAAATGCCCTGAACCTCCAAGCGCCCAACATCTTGCCTGTAGTTTCTTGCCAAGATTTTCTTTCATGCAGAGACCGCCAAAGGTTCCTCCGATAATACTTGTCCAAGTATTACCACGTGCCACGTTAAGTGCTTATAGTAGTAGGTCTTTGAAACAATGCTTTTAGATTGACGCCTCGAACCCTCACAGTAACACAGTATCATTAGGGCACTGATATAATCTATGATAGTTACAGGGTCCAATTTTGGAAGGTCGGGGGTATCAAAATGGTTTTAGTACAGTAGATGCAAGTATCTCAAGATAGTGGGCTTGGAGGTATAATCTGAGGTCTCGAGAACAAACAAAAGTTGAAACCTGCTCTACAAGTTAGAGCCTTCGTTTGTGGGCTAGCTCCTCGTGGTTGCACTGTCTTCCTCCAAGTTTGGGCCTTCGTTTCAAGGTTACCCTTCAGAAGTGTTGCGGGGCGTAGATGAACTTGACTATCTCAAACAAAGGTAAAATCAAACAAGTTAGGTACAACGCCCCCTTTTGCATAGGTACAGTGGTAAATCTAAGTACGTGACTCGTAATATATTTATGTACGTGAGGGTATATGCTAATTTACTGGTAAGTCTACAGTAAGTGAAGCTAAATCACATACCTGCTTGCCATATCCGCAAGGCCTATACATAGCACATTATAGGGTAGGGTATAAGGGTGTAGGATGAGGCTTGGTTGAGATTTGGATATGCGTATTCCTTCAACCCCAAACTCTACAGCCTAAGGGGTTGTCGAGGCTTACATGGAGAGTCATAAGAATCCTAACACCTACACTTTACCCAGACCCTCCCATCTAGTTCCTTTTTGGGTAATTAGCATATTGTAATCCCTTACCAAAAAACCCATAACAACCCCAAAAGGAACTACATAACAGCACTTGGGTAAACCCTAGACCCTAAACCCCAAACCCTCTAAACCCTGAGAGCTGAATCTGGGAATCCCTGCGTAGAATGCCCGGACGTCCTTCTGTGGATAGCAGGACTCCATCATGGAGGGTACCCGACCCTGGCATGCAGGGCTCAGAGTGTAGAGTTCATGGTCTACGTAGAGGGTCAAAGTACCCAAATGACATGGTTTTACACCCCAAACACGATAATCTGAATGGGTTTTGGTACCGAAAAAGTCAACTATTGGGGTACTTGGACCCTATAGAGTTAGGTTTAGGGTTCAGCATTCGAGGGTCTGGGGTTGATAGTGGGGGTATGGTAAACCAATTGAAAGCACATGGAAACCTGGTAAACTAGACTAGCGAAACTGTGCGGGGGAGGGGGTCGCAAGCCATAGGGATGTCATTAGTTTATGGTTCAGGACTTAGTCTTGCCCGCTGTTACTAGGGTGCTGGAAGAATGGAGAAGTGACTGGAGGCCACTGTCGCCACGTAATTCCTGATAGTATCAAAGTTCCCCTTTGCTTGTTCATTCCTTCATTCCCTGCTGACAACCAACTAGCAGACTCTAAACCTCAACTCAAATGCTAGAAACACGCTGGACACCCCAGTTTCCATTTCATGTGTCACTTGCTTCTTCTATTTGATTCTCCATGCTTTTTGGGGGGTAGTAGAGTAGTAGGCCCTAAACGCCAAGCCCCAAACCCTAGACCCCACTAAACCCTAAACTCTCATCCCAACCCCTAAACCCTAGACCCTATACATACAACCCCTATATCCCCCTTTGAAAGGTACCCCTAAGCACTTTTAGGCCCACAAGACACCCCCTTAGCCCTTTTAGGCTTCAGAGCTCCGGCTCTTGGCATGCGAGATCTTTTGGGCTCTGCTTCTGGTGGCTGCAGCAAGGTTAAGGGTTTAGGGCTTGGAGAGTTAGGGTTGCAAGGGGCGCGCTGCTCGAGGCTTCCAGGCTGAGGACTTAAAACCTGCAGGAAGCTCCAAACATCCTGAAAGAGGACCTTAGAAACCAGGCAGGAGCCAAGGCAACTAGCAGTAGGATGTATGCAGACAACCAATGCATGGCAGACAAGCACTTCATAGTTGTCGCTTGGGAGGACCCCCCACCCTGTAATAGTGGTATAATAGGAATATATGAGGACCCTAATATGATCCTTATTATCCCTTATAGCCACTATTACAGGGTGGGGGGTCCGCCTAAGTTGTCGGCTTCAGCAATCGATGTCGGATGGCCCACGCAACATCATCCAGAGGAAGTATGGGACGCCTACAAGCCCTAAACCCTAAACCCCTAAACCCTAAATCCTAAACCCCTAAACCTCTTCATAGGCAGCAAGCGCGAGAGCAACTACAGTGCCCATGGAATAGTTTGGCAACTGATGCTGTAGGAGTAACAGCGAAACACTGCATCCCATTCAAAACTCTAACGCCTACAAGTTCTGTTGTTGCTATTATTTGACTATGATACACATGCGTATATATATATATGCATATACATATGATGTTATTCTCGCTATTGTCGCCACTGCTGCTGAACTTACTCTTTTCACTGCAGGAAGCATACGATTGAAGGTCTAGACCTGGAACTGGGACTGCACGGCGCTCGACTTGGACGTTACGGCACTTGTAACCCCAATGCTCATTGTAGGTATACCTGGACTATAAACCTATCAAAGAACTTCGGGGGCTTGTCATTGGGCGGTCAAGGATTTAGGGTTTAGGGTTTAAATGCAGGTATGAAAACCACCATTACCCTGAAGCTCCTTGTCGGGTGTTGGGCGTAGGATTAGGGTGTAAAACGTAGGGTTGAGGGTAGTTTAGGGTGGAGGGTATAAAGGGTCTAGGGATTTGGGGTTCAATTTCGGCTCTCCCCGCAGAACCCACGATTCTCTAGGACTTCTGAGATAAACGCTGACTTAAATCAGAATCCTACACCGTGTACAATGCGGAGACGGGGCACCTGAAAGATGCAAACTGCAGAATTGCTAGCCCTGAATTCTTCCCGCGATGAAGCTAGGTCTTGAACCCGATCTATAACCTCTCAACCCCACACATTCGTGGAATATCAAATCTCGTATAGATGTCCCGAAGCTAGCATGCAGCTCCATACAGCCCATGTTCTAAAGAAATGTGGTCTGCCTCTGGCCTCTCCTTAGCACGACCCCAATACCCCAAACCGCCTGGAAAAGTACGTTGTACATGTCGCAGTCGGTCGATCTAACTGTGTAGCTCGCCTGCGATCTGAGGGAGTTGTTGTGGGATTCAGAATCAAAGCTTCTTGGTGCTTCTGAGCTTCTAGGTTCCGCAGTAACGCCTTTTCATTAAAGGTACCCCTTTTCCTGACATTCAGTCTTAATAAGGAGACCCCCAAATAAAAAAATGAAGGGTACTACTGGGGTACGAATAGCAATGATAGCTCTAGGGGGGTTGGAGCTGCAGCGAGTTCGGGGGTTAGCACGAAGGGCCGCTTAGGGATTTTGGCGGGTAGGAGCAAAGGGTTGAAGACAGAAGTGATCTTATTGGTGCTTAAGGAAGACTGGGGAAGTGAATAAGGACGATCATAGGGGTACATATGGGGATTGTATAGGGATTGCTAGAAGGATCCAATCCCCCACGATCCCTTAAGCCCCAGAAAGTTGGCTGTCGAATCAATGTGATGTCATTTACCATGCAAGGTCTCCAGTACCCATATGGCTTTTATTGGGGCCCTCTACTTCTGAAAACCCCCACACTGTTGATGGAACAAGCAAACCGTGCGGAGTGTCTGATGCCACGGTCTTGTACTGTTGCCTAAACCCTAAACCCTAAACACTAAACCGTGTCCCATGCTGCAAGTCTGGGACCTCCATGGATACAGGACTCCGATATAAACGGCAATCTACTAGAATCTGAACCCTAAACCCTTAACCGCTTACTAGAAGGAATCCTAGAACCAGCGCCGTCTTGGGACGCCCCGCTACGTCCCTATATGATAAGTTTCGGGGGTATCATTCCGCAGCATCGTTTTTAAGGTGCCCTTTTACTACTCTACAATAACAGTAATTATGATCCTGGCCCAAATGATCATATTGAAGCCCAAAATCCCCTTCAAAGGGACCCACCCAACATCTCCGTATAAGCAGATTGGAGCCCATTTGCTATCTACGGCTACCAAATCAATTGAATAGGATAATCGAGGATCAGATGGAAACTGGCTAAGTTCTGAGGGGTCAGAATCGATATCATGAGACTTTGGTAAGCTCTGGTGCGGTGCAATATACATGCCATCCCCCTAAACTTCATATATCAACCCGTGTCCTTTGATTCTCCTCCATTGTGATTCTTCATGCCCAAGGCCTAGATCTTAAGCCATATATCATACAGTAGACTTCACTTCCATGTTCCAGGCTGAGGTACATTCTTGGTATTCTCTGGTTCCTTTTGTAGAACCAGGAAGAACAGCGATCCTCAAACAAACAAATCTGCTGCGCATCGCCAGAAAGCACACCTTCAAGTGCCGCTCCGGCGTGAAGGGTACTCCCGCCTTCCTGATGTCTGGAAGGCATTTAGGGCTCTAGGGTTTAGAGGTTTAGGGTTTAAGGCGTATGGAAAAATAGCTTAAGGGCAGGGTCTCAACCACATCATGCGTCACCTTTCCTAGCAGAGCTGAAGCTGGAAGACTGCAAGCAATAACAAGGTTTAGTGTGGGGAGGTCATGTGCTCAAGACTGGCACGCTAAGACCCAATCTCTCAGATCCTTAACCCCACTGCACAAAGAATCCCAAAGGCGTGAAATTAAATGACCGCAAAAGCTTTTGTGGCTCTGCATGCAAATACAGGCATACAGGGAACTTCCGATCATAACACGCCAGCCAACGGACAGCACGTGACCGACCTGCTCGGCCCCACAAGGCTCAAATTTTGGGGCTTTAGGCCCCAAGTACTACAATCTGGATGGATCTGGATGGTATTTGGGACATAGAGCGCAAATGCTTTGGTCCTTGGACCCTTCAGGCCTTACACAAGGGCAGCAACAACAACACCAGGCAGGAAATGACAGCATACCTACACTCAAACACGCCGCCTTCCACAAAAAGGCATGCGGTAGCCAACCTCTAGTAGACTTTGCGTGTTCATGCAGAAGGGCCGAGACTCCCAAAATTCTTGGAAAGCCCAAACACAAAACCAAAAATCTAGTTAGCACTATCATTATTGCTATTATCAGTAGTATATACCTAGACCCTCCTCCTACCCTCTATTAGGGCCTAAGTACCTACTATTAGGGACCCCATATCCCCAATCAAGGATACAAAGAAGGTCCTTTTTATTAGTAGTAGAGTAGTATTAATCATCAGGGTTCATGCCAGCAAGGTTCGGATAGGCAGAAAAAAATCGCAGCGATGTGGTGGAGAACTTGCTTCTGCTGGCGTCTGTAAATTTTCGAAGGTCCTGAATCAAGCGTTTGACGGTTCAGGGCTGAGGGCAAACCCTAAGCCCTAAACCCTAGTGTGGGGTTTAGGGGTTAGGTTTTTAGGCAAAGGTTTCAGGGTTGTATCCCTATAGGGTTGTGCCACATTGGGGTCAGGGGTTGTAAGCCTTCGCAGGTTGTGATGCAACCAGGATCAGTCCTTGTACAGGACCTTTTAAGGCTTGTGGGCCTCATGTTTTTTTTTTTTGTGACTTGTCCTAGCTCCTGAAGCAAAGAGGTGTTGTATGCCACCTTGGCGCAGCACTTGAACTTGCATAGAAAAGACACTAGGCACCCCCCAAAATGGTCGCGTATACACCCAGAAGTCCAAGTAACCAATAATCACATACTTCCCCAAGACCTGTAGTACAACTACTTTTCCCAAAATCCCAAGACTCAATTATTGGATAGTTGGACCCTGAAAGTAAGTGTCTAGGAAGGCGCTAGATCCTAACACTTTGAAGCGCTCATGGAGTCTCCACGCACAAGGACCAGCTAGACCCTAAGGGTGCACATTATGGTTTGGTATCTTTACCTTTTAAAACGGTCTGGGTTCCTCTAAGTAAGAATTTCCGGGCTACGTCACAAGCCCTTTTCAAGCAGTCCTTCTTAGAGTTTCTTAAGGTCTTCGTCCTGCTTGCTTGCCCGGGTATCTACCCGAATAAGAACCCAGGCCTAGACCCTGAAGCCCTAGAACCCAGGCCCTGGAACCCTGAACCCTAGAACCCAGCCCCATAAATCCTCAAGCCAACACCCTAAACCCTACCAACCCTAAACCCTAAACCCTAATCCCTTAACCCTAAATCCTACCAACCCTAAACCCTAATCCCTAAGCCCTATATCCTACCAACCCTAAACGCGCGGCCCTTTTGCCTTTGCAAAGTTGTCATAGACTTTAGCATCGGCTCCACCTTCATGCTGTGGGAGATTCGCTCTGGAGGGTGGGGTTTAGGGTTTAGGGTTTAGAGTTTATATAGGGTTTGGGGTTTAGGGGTTAGGGTTTAGGGTACAGGATTCAGTAGGGGATTCGATAAGGGTTATAAAGTGGCTATACGAGGGTTGGACAGGGGTTTTGTAAGGGTTGGATGGGGTTATATAAGGGATTATAAGGGTTATTATAGGGTCAGACAGGGCACATAGGGATTATATATAATGTATAGGTAGGGTTTCCATTAGCCCCCCAAGAATGGAGAATCAAATGGAAAGAGATTCGAACATTGTAGTAAATTGGGTTCACAAGGGGTGTATCGGGAGTAGCTTTAGATAGGGTTTTGCATTATCGGAGGATATACAGGGATCCTTATCGTCGGGTAACTATGAATCATTTAGGGTTCAGATAAGGAGACCCCTAAACCCTAAACCCTAAACCCTAAGCCCTAAACCCTAAACCTTAACCGTGTTTGTTTCTTGTTTTACGCCTCGAGCTGAGGGTTTTGGGTTAAGGCCATGCTTTTCCAAACGGCCGAGACGTTTTCGGAGCCCGTGCTTTACCCCAGGAATCCCGAAGCCTCAAAATGGGTAATAGCCACTATAGCAGTTCTCTATACAATCCCTTATCTAAGCCCCTGTAAGGAGTTTAGACTACAGCTCATTTAGGGTTTAGGGTTTAGGGATATCCAAGACCCTCCTGGTACTTAGGCCTTAACAGAGGGTAGGAGGAGAGTCTAGAATTGCTAGCCAGCCCTTAAACCTGGATCCGAGACCGTGAGCCCAGTTCCCGAACCCTAATGTAGACCCCCGATTAAACAACCCGCTCCCCTTAATAGGAGCTATAATCGGGATCCTGATATTAAGGCCTTAAAAGGAGGGGGTTTAGTAATCATGGGTCTACATTGCAGATCAAATCTACCCCTAAATCTTAGACCCTTGACTAGGGTAGGTTTGGGGGTCTCTCTACAAACGCAAGTTGTGTGGCTATGGGAGTTGACAGTTTTCAATACATATTCATTTAAATCCACCTATAGTCCCCCTTAAGTAGATAGAATATGGGGTATATGGGGATCTTGTTATACTATACCCGAAGCCATATTCTATCCACTGAAGGGGGACTATAGACCCTAAACCCTAACTCCTAAAACCCAAAAAGTAGTTTCCATTTTCTTTTCCATTATCCCAATATACTCAAGGGGCACTATAAACCTAAACCCTAAACCTTACATTCTATCTACTTAAGCGGGACGATGCCCTTGTAACTCCACATGCGCAGCCAGGGAAGCTGCTGTAGGCCCCGTTTGCAGAGATCTCGCAGAGGTTTAGGCCGAATAGGCCTGAAATCCAGGGAAGTTTGGGGTCTAGGGTTTGGGGGGTTTGGGTTTGGAGTTTAGGGTTTGGGGGTTTGG